GCTTAAGCCTGGGCTAGTACAAGCAGCCGCACATACACATACACATGCATGCACGTCGTCATATGATCGAAATATTCTCAAGCACGACGTAAAACCCAATTTCACCTCACCTCACCTTTCAATACAAATGAATAATTAAATAAATCTGTCTGAAATGAAATATAGTTTGGTGATACGGTCCCTTCTCACATGTCCATACACAATCACGATGTTACCCAACCTGCACGTGTCACACACATTGCCACATTGTTGATAGCTATTCCAGTACTTGCCAGTACTCCCTCGTGAAAATGTTGTCGTTGTCAGAAACTTTATATGATAGTTTCTTAAATAAAATCTTTTATAGTGGATATAAACGTTAGCAATTCAACACCCAATTAGGTCGTCAGATATCATTATTAGCCGAGTGAATAAAAGTTGGATACCTTTTGTTGTTTAAACGCAACTTGCAAAAAACCGTGCTCCAAAAGTTAGGTTGACGGACTATATGTATGAAATCTTCAGCGTCTGTGCCTAAAACGTTTTGTTCTGAGGCATCACTGATACATACTGAATGCGTGTTACCTACCTGAGAGGATGCAGGCCAATAGCACACAGGTGAGAAGGCCAGCTGGAGCCATGATCAAAGAAAGCTGAGTTGAGTTTACCTGTGCCCTCACCTTATATGCTCTTTATTCGTCTGACGTCAGAGTTACCTGTAAGTATTTACCTACAACTCCGCACATCACTGCACGCGCACCGTCGCTGCAGGGAATTGTGAGGTCAATGAAATCGGTGGCCAGTCCAATATCTTGACACCTATAAAATCTCATGTACACTTCACAGAACTCAAAGCAAACAAAAAGTTATCGGCGGATTTCAGCGGGAGATTTTGAAACATTCGAAAGTAAATACCATCTAAAAACTACTATAAAACATAATTTGAAACGCACTTTTTCATTCTGATGAAGGAAACCAATTATTCAGTGGAGCGTTATAAAACAGAACCATGCAAAAATATAAAAAATGGTTAAGGTATATTTGATTCCATGTTCAAATGTGTATATTTTCACTTAATCTTCATTCATTGTACATGTTTCTTTTATTCACCGTTACCGTATATGTTATTGATTTGTTTCAAAGTTCATCTGGGAATAGCGGCATACACCGTTGAATGCACCAATGGTGCTTGTTAGAAAACACAATCCTGTCACAACCACTGTCACTTTATCTGTCTGGTGAACGACGCTCTGAAAGAATTGGGGGCTGTGGGGTAGCCTAGTGGTTAAAGCGTTCGCTCGTCACGCCGAGGCCCCGAATATAAATAGAGAAGGTTTTATCTTTATTTCAAGATTGCATTATGACAATAATATGTTAAACTTACACAATGTAGTTTTCCGAACTATACCATGGGGCATAAAAGGTAAAAAGGTGGTGAAAATGATGAATGGATCACTGAACATTAGTGACGACACCAGGTGTTCGCGAAAAGGGTAAGCATATCCTGTTTACCGACGGTACCCGTCACAGACACCGCTAGCACACAACAAAGTGTTACACAGACACTTCTATGAATGCACATCAGCCATGTCTGTAAGTGCCTTCCTTGTATACGTAAAGGATAAACACGACTCCGAGGTTTTGGTAGCAAATGTGAACCCGTCTTGTGAGGAACACATGATTAATTCATACTCACAAACAATCTCATTCTTCACAGCGACCCTTCGTAGCCTAGTGGATAAAACCGCCAAGCTATATAGAGCGAAGGGTTGCGGGTTCGAAACCAGTTATCGCCACTATATATTGGAAGTATTCAATAATGTGATATTTTACGATCAGTGATAGCAAGACAAAGTTGCATCAATCATAGACTCGATTATGAAATGGTCGAAATTTAACCTGATATGAGGTTTCGAAACGTGTTTTTCAAAACCTAGGTCTAGAAATGATCAGTGCAAAGTCACAGCAGAGGTCTACCTGATTCTGGAAGGAACCTACTCTACTACAGACAAAATCAGAGATAGGTTTTATAATCAAGGTTGAGTGATACACATGTTATCTAGAACAACGTACACATCTTCCCGGACAAGGAGAGGGTTCATTGTGTCAAAATGGCCGTGTGTTATGAGCGGAGACATTCCATCTAACACAACAAGAATAACACAATAAATAAAAACCCACATCATGTCCCTATGTACAAAACCTTAAAAGTGCAACTTTGGTAGTCTTATCAATTTTCGCACATGGAATCTTTATTTATTTCAGTTTTTGTATTCTTTTCGAGTTTCTCGATGCTTCGATGATGCAAAACAGACCATAAAAATATATAAAATATCTATTTCACGTCGGTTATGGGGTAGACACGTACAACTTTGCTCCTAAGAGCTTTCTTCCGTCATAACATAAACCAATAACACGGACGGATGTGTGTACAGGAAATATAAGGTTATAATACAAAGTGACAGGGACCTTCCGACCTATAGCTAGGAGTGGAGCTAACAGGGAAGATTACTTACTGTGTTTGTAGGCTGAACAGTTGCATACAAGGCCCTCCAATTCTGAGGCAGTCTGCAGGAACGTTTGTACGTCTCTGCTCTACGGATCAAACTCGCCAGGGTCGAGACAGACTGACTGACTGACTGACTCACTGACTCACTCTTTACCAAAACACGGGTTCGATTACCCACCGTGATATTGCTTCAATGTTGTTAAAAGCGGCGTAAAACCAAACTCACTCACTTTTACAAAAACAAGCAGGAATGTTTACCCGAAATTATATACAGTTTCCCCTTTTCAGATACGATGAAAAATGTCTTTAAGCTGCCAGATGAAGAGGATGAACTTTTCCAATCTAATTGCCAGTTTGTTTACGCATCACAATCCCGGGTCATGTCAAACGAAAGGTGTCTGCGCGAAGCATCTTTTAAGTTTTAGGCATTCGCGGGACGAGGGATTGCAGTGCACGTGGAAGATTATGCTGACCTGCCTTAGGTGACATGAAAACTGAACCTTAATAGGCCCTCACCGTATCCAACACTTGATCCTCGAAAACATGTTCATAAAATTTATTAAAGTTGTGTGCATCACATAGGAGATGGCGAAGGCAGGGCTATAGGCTTATATTTGTGAGCTGGCGGTTTAATGTATAGATCCGATAAGAGAAGACGTCCTTTATTGGCGACGTAACGAGAGAGAGAGTGCAAAGGAGCAGTGAGAGTTGTCAGCCATGTACTGACGAGAGAGTGCATGTCACACCATCCACCTGTCTGTGTCAGTATACAGGTAATTTGATACTGTTAACTCGTACATATGCTTAGACGTTTTTGAACATATGGTGTAATGAAACGATTAAGTTTGTCATCAATACTAGATTCAGGCAGTAAACCACACGCCATCCACCTGTCCGTGGCAATGAATTTCAATGTTATGAACATAACGTAGTGTTAATGTTAGAGTATACTGATTTAATAAACTGTAAATTAAACCTCTCACACTCTCTCTCGGTTCGATTCTCCACATGGGTACAATGTGTGAAGCCCAATTCTGGTGTCCCCGCCGTAATATTGCTTGAATAATGTTAAAGCTGACTAAAACCCAACTCTCTCTTAAACAACGTCTGGCGGGGATTCCCTCCGTCCCTCCCTCCCCTTCTCTCTCTCTTTCCCACCCTCTCTCTTTTTTTCTCTCTCACTCTTTTTTTGTCTCACCCTCTCTCGCTCTCTGTCTCTCTGTTTTACTCTCTTCTCTCTCTCATCAGAGGTATACGCATAGCTACGCGTTTGGTTTTAAATTAAAAAATTAGAGCTGTTATAATTTCTTTATATACCTCTGATGTTCCAACACAGTTTGTCTATCTCTATTCCACCATAACCGCGTTATTAAGATTTAGAAAAATACATATTGTGTTGGAAAATCAGAGGTACATAACGTGATTATATACCTCTGAATGGCTTTAATTAACCAATCACAATCCAGTATTTACTGAAGTCATGGTAGAATGTCCCATTGCTCAGTTATTGATATTTCCTCGCCTTTTGTGAATACTACAACTTTCGTCTTACTTGATCTGACAAATCCTGTTCAGAGCAATACTCACTGAGTACATCAATCTTTTTCTGTATAAATATGTCAAAGTCAGTAAAAATCGAGACATCGTCGGCAAACAGCAGTAAATTAAAACCAATCCGTGAATCATACTTGGCATTCTGAAAGCAAATTTTGTGTAGACATTAAATTTTAAAACGAATCCCTAGTACCGTCGTGAATATTTTATGCACAGAATATACAAAAGTAACACCCAAAACTGGATTTTAAAATGTCCCATCCCAGTTGCGTAGATCGATGCTCATGCTGTTCATCACTGGATTGTATGAGTGCGGCGTAAAACTAAACTCACGCACTGACTCAATATTTTTCATGTAGCTTTGCTGGGTAATACGTTTAGTGGGATTATGTTTGTGTCTTGATAAACCAAGGATACCCATGGTATTGTTATTGAAGTCTTGGCGTAAATTTCTATATAATACCTCAAAACGTAATCAAAATAATGCCATGAAAGGTGACTCAACCAAATAGCCATACTAACTAACCTCATTTTCGGAGGGCTTTTAAAGAAAGTTAACTTTGTTAGGCTGTAGATGATACCCCAAAACAGGGACTTATTAACAAAATGCAATGCTTTGAAATGTTTTTATGCGCCTGATGTATTCTGAGTTTATTCGACTTCACAGTGAGGATTGTGAAAGAGGCACATGACAGTGGAGGGGTAGGCCCTTAAAACGAGACGACGCTGGCAAGTAAATGTCAAATTGTGAAATAAAAGTCTGTTATCAGAGACCATTTAATAAATTTATTATTTATTGTATGGTCTTTGCTTTCATGAATACACAATGCTACAAATGTAACGCATGTTATATGTATGTTATAGAACATGCTTTTTACTTACAGTTTGACCCCCTCAAACAGCATATAACATGGCAGTATTTGAAACGCGGTATGCCTTCTATTCGGATGACAGAGTTGTCGGCCTTTTCGCCTTGACGGCGTGTACTTGCATTTTACGAGACATCCTAAACACATTTGAACTCAATTAAACTGAGTAAGTGCAGAGTGATATTGGAATGTTTTAATTACCAACATGCCATGTAGGTTCTATGTTTGTGTTTACCCGATTGCAATTCTTACCTAAACCGTTATCAGAATATATGCTCGCAAATCACAGAATCTTGTTGCGGTCATAGGGTCAACGGCTCGACTGGTGTTGCCTTCAACAGTCGGAATGCTAATTCAATTTTTTTATGTTATCTCAAAATACATGTGTGCTAAAATCGTGTCTTATCGTCTGACTGGGACTGGTGTAGGATAACGCGAACCTGGTGAAATACAGGGAGTAGATCAGATTAAACTTTAAAGAATTGGACGAAGCTCCTGTAAAATGTTCTGTTGCTGTCACATGGTCACATGTAGTCTGTCTCACAGTCCCTGAACCACATTTTTTGCCCTACTGCCTAGGCCTCCCTGCAATGTAGTCTGTCTCACAGTCCCTGAACCACATTATTTTCCCCTACTGCCAAGCCCTGCAATGTAGTCTGTCTCACAGTCCCTGAACCACATTATTTTCCCTACTGCCCAGCCCTCCCTGCAATGTAGTCTGTCTCACAGTCCCTGAACCACATTATTTTCCCTAATTCAATGCTAAAGCCCTAAATAAAGCAAGTCTAGATTTCCCCAGGTTCAGGGTCGGAATATCTTGTCTCCCTGGGGCTCCTTTTCAATTTAAATGGGCTTGTTTGTTACTGTTGAACTTATATATATTCAGAGACTAAGCATTAGTCTAGGTCACATGCACAGCACAAACTTTGTGATTGATCATGAATGTTGTCGTCAATTTGAATTCATTTTATGAAGTAAGACACTTAAATCACAGTGTCTCGGTTTGATGCAGAAGAAATGCTCAATGTGATCCACCTCTCGCACATTAAAAACCCACAAGTACAAGTATGGTAATGTCAAATGTAGAAACATAATCTAAGCAGACCAGGATATACATCAATTATCATGGGCCCAGGGGATGCACCTCGGGGATGCAACTCTGCCCAGGAAATTCCAGGACTGGGCCACCCGTGACCCCTGTAACTTCATGAACATGTATTAAAACAAAGAACAATGATTAATTGTGGATCAGCTTTGACCAATATGTGTTGAACAATCTCATTAAATTTCTCATTAAATGATTTCAGACTGTACATGACAGGGAGATGTCCCTGGTGCGCACTGTGTTGTTGTGCCCACGGCTGGTGAGGATGGTGAAGGTGCAGACAGTGCAGTGCTGTCTGCAGATGTGCAGACAGTCACCCCGTATGTTGCATCCAGACCTGCACACTCCCCAGGGATCATGGCTGCTGACCCGCTCTTATGCTAAGAAGGGAAAGAAAGACAAAGGTAATGGCAGTGATCCAGATGAGATGCAGGTGAAGAATTGGGAAGTAGTGGTGTTCCAATTAATTGAAATAATCGAATATTGATAGCAGTGACCAAACGACCAAGTTATCGATCACATTTTCTCATAATCGAACATAAATGATTTTGGAACTACTATTTTAGTGTTTAAAATACTTGACAATGGAACATATCTTAGAAGTTGTCAGGGCCTGAAAGCGTGTTTAATTCTTAGAAAACTCACTTCACTAACTGAAAAGTCATGACTTCAGGAAGTTTATGTTCATGATATATTAGTCATCACTTTAAAATAGCAAGTTGCATCATGTTATACATATCTGCAATAACAACCTGGATAGGAAAATCTGAAAAATGACGCTAACCAATTTTTTTCGATGATTGTTCGTTGGTAATGAAGCAATCATCAATTGTGAGATTTCAACCAATTCCCAACACTAGTGGGTAGTTGCAAACAGTTAATAAACTAACCATGGCTTGATTGACACTGCACACTCAAGATGTAGCCCTAAACTCGTAATGGTGGAAACGAACACTTGTAATGTACCTGTGTACTCAATGGTTAATCCTAAACACTTAATATGGTAACTAGCACTTGGTTGTGGTGTGTTCACACATTACCTGTACCCTTCAGTTGCTAAATGGTGTGCATAAGAGGAATGTTTCACCCATGTGGTTTGTTTCAGGGGGAGGTAAAGGGAAGGGAGGCAGTGGGAGGAAGATTTCATTGACAGCAGAGGATATGGAAGGTATACTTGACATCACAGCTGTTGATGCAGAGATGCAGCATGCTCTCGATGACCTCAAGCAACAGTACATCCATCAGTTGTCCCTCCGTACATCCCCAGGTAAATGTCCCTCTGTATATCACCAGGTAAATGTCCCACTGTACATCACAGGCCCTCGTGTCTTTGCGAGGATTTAAAGATTTTAAGAAAAATATAAAAATTTGAGATGACCCCCGACTCGAAATGCTTCACAGTATAATACAATACGACAAGGCCGGACACTTCGGTGTACCCCACCCGCCTGCTTTGTCGATCGCTACGCTACTATCACATACAATCGATTAAAACTTATTATAAACATAATTATGGATGATTGGCCTATCGATCACCACTCACGACACCTACCAATTCTGTATTATTGTTTCTGCAAGTCGATTGAAACCCGATTTTGACTCTCAACTAAACGATCTTGACACAAATGGATGACGATGTGTCCGCACAAAACGGGTGTGTGGTAGAAGCAAGCCCTCTGGTTGGTTGATGCTTGTTAAGGTGACATTTACAACTGATGCTTTCTTTTGAGAAGCCATTGCTCGAAAAATATTCATACATTAAGCAGTCAATGAAAGGAAAAAAATCCCGCGAATTTATAAAGAATGTGCAGATTTGGAAGCATTGACCAATCAGAGGGCTTGATTTGACCACACACCCCTTTTTGTGTGGGCATATCGTCATCCATTTGTGTCAAGATCGTTTAGTTGAGGGTCAAAATCGGGTTTCAGTCAACTTGCAGAAATAATAATAAAGAATTGGTAGGTGTCATGAGTGTGTGATCAATAGGCCAATCATCCATAATTATGTTTTCATTAAATTTTAATCGATTGTATGTGATGGTAGCGTAGCGATCGGCAAAGCAGGCCGAAGTGTCCGGCCTTGTCATAATGTATTATACTGTGAAGCATTTTGAGTCGGGGATCATCTCAAAATTTATAATTTTTTTCTTAAAATCTTTAATCTTCCCAAAGACATGAGGACCTGTGCTGTACATCACAAAGTAAATATCTTTCTGCACATCACATGCAGGTAAATGTCCCTCAGTATATCACCAGGTACATTTCCCTGTGTATATTGCCAGGTAAATGTCCCTGTGTATATCGTCAGGTAAATGTCCCTGTGTATATTGCCAGGTAAATGTCTGTACATGGACAAGTAAATATCCCACTATACATCACCAGGTAAATGTCCCTCCATATATCACCTCATTTTCTGGAGTAAATGTCCCTCTCTATATTGCCAGGTAAGTGTTGCACCATATATCACCTCATTTTCTGGAGTAAATGCCCCGCTCTATATTGCCAGGTAAATGTTGCACCACATATCACCTCATTTTCTGGAGTAAATGTCCCTCTCTGTATTGCCAGGTAAATGTTGCACCATATATCACCTCATTTTCTGGAGTAAATGTCCCTCTCTATATTGCCAGGTATATGTCCCTCTGTATACACACCATGTAATTGTTCATCCATACTTGGTCAACACACTGGCAACACTTACTGTCTGTTCAAGGGACATAATTCAGATTTGAACATACAACATTTGTTATTTCTGCCAGGTGTGTTTCACAACTTGATGGTGTCGACAACTGATGGGCGTTTCCCTCTGATGCAGCTTGGTCAGATTGTACAGAAGTCTCCCCAGCTGCTCATCATCAACCTTGCTGCATCCTCTCAGGTAAGTCAGCAACCTTGTTGTTATAGAGTAACAAGGTGTTTTTTCATATTTGGATCCAGTTATGACCTTTCACCAGAATATCCGGGTTAGAATTCTTGCCATAAGAGGCGACTAACGGGATCGGGTGATCAGACTCGGCTGACTTCGTTGACACATATCATCATATCCAAAATGCGTAGATTGATGCTCATGCTGCTGATCATTGGATTGTCTGGTCCAGACTTGATTATTTACAGACCGACACTATAGAGCAGGGCCTATATTTTCGAAGCTCCCTTAGCGCTAAGATAGTCGTAAGTGCCATACATTAACATTAACTTACGACTATCTTTGCGCTAAGAGAGCAGGGCCTATATTTTCGAAGCTCTCTTAGCGCTAAGATAGTCGTAAGTGCCATACATTAACATTAACTTACGACTATCTTTGCGCTAAGAGAGCTTCGAAAATATAGGCCCTGGAATTTTGCTGAGAGTGCATTAAACAACAAACAAAGAAAAACAAACAAACAAAATACCTGGCATCTCCCGTAAGTGAAATAAGGTTAATTATCTATCAGCATTATGCCAGCAATGTGGAAGTGGAACAAACAATACTAATCCCTGTTGATCATGTGTTACGTCATTCTCTTCCCACAGAGGTTACTTGTCATATCTTCCTACGAACCTCTGTTCTAATACGGCCATATTTCCCGGTTCTTGTAAAATCCCCTAGCGGCAAAAGATCGCAACACGAATTCTCTCCCTTCTTTCTATCCAATCAGAACACGTGTTACATCGACTTGACTAATACAAGCAAATGTGGGGCCACAAATATGCCCCATCTGCCGGGGACTTGTGTTGATATTACACACAGGACGTTTAATGGCTAGCTTGTCTGTTGTCAACGAGGGCGATGGAGACGCCACTGATCCGCCATAACATGACTGGGTTCTGTCTAGAAGAAACGTTTGCGCATCTCGCAGGGGAAGAGGTTTAGTTTTTTCGAAGCATATGGAAATTACCGAGGCCTTGCGAATGATCACTTTTGAAACAACGTCGCTGATTGCACAACTAAATCTGATTGCCTCCAATCACTAGTCTTGAACGCTCACACCATGAAAGGCCGTATTAGAACAGAGGTTACGTAGGAAGATATGACAGGAGTAACCTCTGTGGGAAGAGAATGGTGTTACGTCAGTTTTGACATTTCTAAAATCTCAAGGTTAAAAAACATAGCAAAGTAGTCTTTCATGTAAATGATCCAAGGAAAGATTTAAATGACCTGGTCAGAACTGTCACAGGTGGTTTTATTCCACCTTTGGCTGTGCTATGAAGCTTGTCAAAGGTGGATGGAAATGTGCTCAACTAGCTCTCCCTTGCAGCACCTGCCAGCAGTAAAGATGGCCATCGAACAGTCTGGGATGAATGTGAACCCAACACAAGACGGAACAACCCTCATTGTCCCCCTGCCAAAGTAAGCTGACTCCTGTCTGTCTGCCCCTGTATATGGCTGTGTATTTTAGTGCTATGGGGACTGAGTGTTTGTTTGTTATTTCATTGCAATCAGCAACATTCCAAATCTATAATGGTTGACTGTTTATAATCAAGTTTGGACTAGACGATCCAGGAACAACAATCCATGCTGTCATGTTACTTTGACAATTAAACCTGTCCCCCAGATCCATTTAGTTGCCTTAACAAGCAGATACTTCTGGGGGTCAGTTGTTACCTGGAATCCACACTTGTAAAGATTCAGGTTAGAATTGGTCTTCAGTAACCCATGCTTGTCGTAAGAGGCGACTAACGAGATCGGGTGGTCAGGTTTGCTGACTTAGTTGACACATGTCATCGTATCCCAATTGTATAGATTGATGCTCATGCTGTTGATCACTGGATTGTGTGGTCCAGGTTTGACTATTTACAGACTGCTGACATATAGCTGGAATATTGCTGAGTGAGGCATTAAACAACAAACAAAGAAAAACACACAAACAAAATACCTGTCATCTCCCGTCAGTGAAATAAGGTTCATCATCTATCAGCATTATGCCAGCAATGTGGAAGTGGTGGCCGAGTAGGTAATATGTTCATCTGTCACACCAAACACCTGGGTTTGATTCCTCACATGACCCCTATAAACCATGCATGACTGAGGGTAATTATGATTGCATGTCAGTATTTATTTATGTGAGATAGTTCAGTTAATTTTGACAGATGTTTCTGGATTCAGAAGGGGAGATGAGGATACAGCCCTGTTACCTATAACAAATATGATGTACAATTTTTCAATATCAGTGTTAAATTTTAATCTATAAGGCAACCTTGATTGTTGTCAATTATCAAAATCTTCTTGTAAGTTGGAAAGGGATGACTCTGAAATCAAAATTTGGGTGTTTCAAGAATTCACTTAAATAGTGCATTAATTTAGGGGTGTAAATGTAAATACAAATGAGCACATTTGACAATATGACTTCAGTATCTTTGTTCAGTTCTATTTTCAGCCAATCAGGAGGCAGCAGTGAGCATGACCAAAATATTTAACCACAAAACAACAGTTACCTGGTTAGCCAATCAAATGCCACATAATTACTTGCATTATATTTAATTTCATGAAAGTAAATAGAAAATCAAATTTTGAAAATTTGCACATAAATATGTGATATCTGTCTTGTCTTTTCAGGGTAACAACAGAACATCGTGAAAGTTTGGCGAAGAATGCAAAGGTCTTGTGTAACAAGTTGAAGGACAGATTACGAGACATCCATGCTAAGCATGCAAAGAAGGTCAAGGCCAATAAGGAAGGTCACCCTGAGGATCTTATACGAGACGTGCAGGACCTGGTGAGTGATGGTCCAAGCAGCAAGGGGTCAGCTGTAGTGTGGTGTGGGGCCGTTTATGTGGGGGTGGGGCTGTGGGGTGAGAATGTTGGTCTGGGGTTGGGATTGTTGCAGTATGTGTTGGAGATGTTGGTGTGGGGGTGTTGAGGTTGGGTTTTGGGGTGTCACTGAAGATGTTGGTGTGTAATGGGGGTGTTATGTTTATGTTGGAGGTTGGAGCTTGACGGAATATTGGGTCTGATTGAAAATGATGGGTGGATTAGGTTGGGGATGCTAGTTTATGTGGATGTGGTGGGGATGTGGGTGTGTGGGTGTGCAGATGTTGGTGTGTGAGTAAAAATGTTGTGTGGGTGGAATGTCAGTGGGTGTGGGTGGGTGTTGTATGTAGAGGGGAGAAGATGTTGCTGAGTTGTAGTATCTTTATGCAGGTGTATGAAGATTGGGGAGTTGTGTGAAGGTGTTAATATCCTTACAGCTATTCCAGGTGTTGGAATGTGTCTGATGTCCAGAGTGTCTGGGATGTGGAATAGTGTCTGTACAGCTTTATTCCAGGTGTGAATTGTCTGAATAGTTTCCTGGAATAGTGTCTGACGTACAGCTTTATTCCAGGTGTTGGAGACAATGAGGAGATACAGTAGCCAGGCTGAGGAGCTCCTGCAGGCCAAAACAAAGGACCTTCTCGGGAAATGAAAACTCTGTGGTTTTAGGAACACCCAGGAAAACCTAACAAACATTAATCCATGGCCAGTTTTAAGGTGTCAATACTGGCATTTTCCTTACAAGCTGTCTACACTAAGTGACACTTGGTGAAGTATGAGAACACTTGACAAACACTTAGTAAACAATTGGTGAACACCAAGAAATCAGTGGTTACCTGGTTTATTACCACATGAACTCTGGTTTGTGAATACCTGGTGATTGTCTTATAGAACACCCTGGAACACATTGTCAGGGGCCCTGTTACAGAATATCATCATAGGCGAGGGCTGTCATGCATCATATACTGTAACATTGACTTACATCAGTCTTAGTTCCATTATCACTTTAGGCAATATGTGTGAATTGTATATGTTACTGTTAACAAGTATCTGGGTGAGGTGAGGTGAAATTGGGTTTTACGTCGTGCTTGAGAATATTTCGCTCATATGACGACGTGCATGCGTGTGTATGTGTATGTGCGGCTGCTTGTCCTAGCCCAGACTTAAGCTGGTTTTATAGTGCTAGCCCACTGAGATACCATGCCGCAGTGAAGCATGAATACCCCACTCAGACACATTATACTGACTCTGAGCCGACCAGTCCTTGTTGTACCCATTAATGCGAGCGCCAGGCAGGGACCAACAAGTACCATATTTTAACGTCTTTTGGTTTGACGCGGTCGGGGATCGAACCCACGACCTTCCGCTCTCCGGGCGGACGCTCTAACCACTACACCACGGAGGCGGTCGTTAACAAGTATCTAACGAATGCAGGATGTGTTTTTGAATTGGTCACTCAGGGATTTAACTAGACCTGTTTAGAGGCTGACATTCAGCCCTAGCTAGGAACAAGTGTCAGTAAGTATACCCATATTGGAGTTAATAAGTTCCCAATTCATCTGTTATAGAGGTTACTGAGACTGGCTGTCTGTCACAGAGATCATTAATCGTTAAAAAATTATTGATCGATTAATAATAAATATGGAAGAATTAGCCTTCAGCCAAAATGAAAAAATCAATATCAGCTTATTTTACATCACCGGTGTGTGGTGACACATTTATGAATCGTTTACTAACAACAGCAGCATTCTGAACATTATTTAGAAGTACCACATAAATAAAAACATAACTTGTGTGTGGTTTTTTATAACTTAAGAATTTAGTGATGACACAATTTTCATATGAATAATCATCAATAATTCTTCTATTGATGATATTTCCGATTATCAATCTTTTCATACAGTAATGTGGATGTTACTGTTATGGCTGTCTGTGATGTTTATTTCACCAAGGTCCATACTGGATCACTCACTATTTCAGCAAGGATGAAGAATCTGTAATATTTAGTTCAACATTATGGCATTGATTGGATGTTTCAATACTTTTGAATTCACACAATTAAGAACAATTTAAGAATAAATATAAAAATTAATACGATCACAATATTTCCCAATATGCCTGCCAAGAGAAGTTAGTGAATCATATTTCATCCTTGTCACTGTGTGACATAGAAGGGTGACATGTATGTTACAGTCTGTATGTGACATGGTAAACCAATAAACACTTGTGTACAGTTTTGTTTACCTATTTGTTGTTGATGGTAAAATGTGTTTCAGGACAAGATAGCTGACATCTGTTTGTGCATGCATGATGACATTTTAAACATTTTTTCAGCTATAAGACATGTGTCCAACCAGTCCCTAGATGATAACACATTTGGGAAACATACACACATTGGAATGATACAAGGCATTGGAAATATGTGCTTGAATCTGCAAGCTTTGTGCCTTTGATCATGGGGATCTAGTCTGTCTCACAGTCCATGAACCACATTAATTTCCCTACTGCCAAGCCCTCTCTGCAATGCTAAAGCCCTAAATAAAGCAAGTCTAGATGTCCTCAGGTTCTGAATCTCTGCCTTTTCTAACTTGTTTGATCAGAGACTAAGCCTTAGTCTAATAGGGCTCCTGAAGGAGGTGATACATATTTTGATATTTCCTGTGTGTACACATATTTCTGTTTCAAACCCTGTGGCTTCTGCTCGGGATGGGTGGGTCCTTCAAGTGCATCATGAGTGTAATTGCCTTCTAAGAGTGAGTGAGTGAGTATAGTTTTACACTGCACTCAGCAATATTCCAGCTATATGGCTGCCGTCTGTATATAATCGAGTCTGGACCAGACAATCCAGTGATCAACAGCATGAGCATCGATTTGCGCAATTGGGAACCGATGACGTGTGTCAACCAAGTCAGTGATCCTGACCACCCGATCCCGTTAGTCGCCTCTTAGGACAAGCATGGGTTACTGAAGGTTCATTCTAACCCGGACCTTCACCGGTGCCTTCTAAGATGTTGGTTTGAGACTTGCTGATGGTATGTCATCTCAGCTTTAAGGCAGGCAGGGCGGTGGGGTAGCCTAGTGGTTAAAGCATTAGCTCGTCACGCTGAAGACCCGGTTCGATTCCCCGCTTGGGTACAATGTGTGAAGCCCATTTCTGGTGTCCCTCGCCGTGATATTGCTGGAATATTGATAAAAGCCCTGTAACACTAAACTCACTCACTTTAAGGCAGGTACACTGATTATTCCATAAACCACTCAATGGAACTCTGGGTTAGAACTGGTTCCAAGAAACCAAGGCTGTTGAGTTTCCGGGGCATAGATCATTTACACTAGAATATATATTATCTATGAAAGAAGAACTCCAGTCGTAACGGAAGTATTCATCACATCCTACACAACTGAATAAATGCCTGAACACATTTCATGCTAACTATCAATATCACGTCCTGGTAACACAGCTTTCTATTTCCTTGCGAACAGACCAAATTTGAATACAATATTGACAAACATTATGGATAACAACTTTTATGACGTGAGTGTGAGTTGAACACAGAATGTCCAACTCAAGCCGATGACGTAGCCTTGGTGAGTTCCTGTACCAGTAATCTCAGCTCCCTCCTGAGAATTGCAGAAAACTACAGTAGGTTGTGGCGCTTCACATTCTCCTCTAGTAAGACTGAGCGCGTTACAGTTGGGGCTAGCAGAAAATGTAAAGTTGTTGCTGACGACCTCTCCTTATATGGGGGTCCACTACCAACAGTTAACCAAGTCAAACATGTCGGCATTATACTCTCTGACAGGTTTAATTCAATAGAAAGAACACTAGACGCATGTACTAAGATCAGATCCTATGCTTACACAATGTCAAGGAAAGGATTGAATCCATCTCTGGTGTCTCCCATTGTCTGTCTGAAACTGATCCAGAAAGTCGCTCTACCAAAGTGTCTTTTCGGTAGTGAGCTGTGGAACTCTCTCAGTCAGACTGAGATACTTAGGAGATAAACCTACTGTGTTGGAAAATCAGAGGTATATAACGAAATTATAATAGCTCTAAATTTCATTTTAGATTTTCCAACACAGTAGGTTCCATTCTACCATGACCATTTTATGAACAATTTCAGGTGGAACTCTTTCTTTGGTTATGAGTGAATACGTGAAGCGGCCTCGCATTCCAATCTCAAGTGGCATCGCCCGAAACGGGGTGATTGGTGGCAGACTGTCAATAACTAACAAACTCCAGATTCAGTAATAACAAATCACAGTTTGTTTTTTCAATGCATTAATCATCGATCATTAAGTGATAAGTTGGAAAACATATATCAAATAAGTTTAAAAAGCTTGGTTCACATTTGAAAATTCCACCGTAGACCCTTTCCCCACCAGAATAATGGCAGCAACCTCATGGCCTTGACCTTTTCTCGGAAGTCATTGTTTACATTTACGTGCAAATTTGGAAAGATGCGACAGGAGAGCCTCTGACAGTTTGAGCAAGGTTAACCTGATTGTATGACTGAGATAGTCTTTGATATCTAATTACTGGTACTGGTACAAAATTTAAGAGTAGAGGCGCTTTTGCTGTAACGAGAAGTCCGTGTTGTACCGAATTTAGATACTGTTGAATTTTGCGCCCTGTCAACTTGACGATTTCACGCACCTCTACGTCTGCGTGCGACAGCTGTGGTGACCCTTACACACTCATGTGTGTACTTTGTGCTCAAATTCGATTCTACGGATATTATTTTTTACATTTTGGAAAGTGTTTTGTGACCTAGTGGCTTCAAAGTGTAGTGAATTCAAATTGAATCGGATTCGCTGGCATGCTCGCGAGGCTGTTGACAAAGAGCCAGATTTGTGGTGATATTTCCGAAAGGATGGAACAGGACATGAGGGTGTACCTCTGGCATAAACACGGTAAGGTAATTAATTATACTTTAATAGACTACTTTAGATCAAGCATTGAATGGATAAGAGGGATCATGACTAAGCTAAATAACTTTTTCAACGATATTATACTTTTAGAAAAAAAATATGTTGGGCTAAACAGTACGGTTTGCAGATTCTGTAATTACTACCGCTAAATTTGAAACAGTACAAATTTCAAAATATCATTTTGTTTGAACTGATAACCCAACTATTTATTTATGTAGACGGAAGGGATTCAAATTTCTTCGGCGTTCGATGTTAATGCATCCTCCGTTACCGGAACAAGATCAGTGGCGGTATCGTTGACGAAAGCTGATAATAAATTTAACACGGAAATTATGTAGCAGTCTATTGCTGGATCTATTCTGACATAACATAGAATCAACGTAAACATATTTGTTCTTGCTGATTTTTTATTCGGAAAGCAGACGATGTTTTGATTTTGTTCGACTGAATATTTGTTTCTATGCTTTCGAAGAACTTTGGTATGTATAAACACCTATTGCTGTGATTTACGCAAGTAGTGAGTCAAGCCCGTCATCGCTAAATCCATCTTTAAAGACATATGTGTAATTTCCGACAGCAAAATCGCCGTAATTTATCGATGCATCGGTAGGTTGTTTGGTGTCCGCCAAAAATAGTGCATTACCGTAAACCATGTATAATTGCGCACGGAAAATCAGAGACCAGTATAACGTGATTATATACCTCTGAATGACTTTAATTAACCAATCACAATCCAGTGTTTACTGAAGTCATGGTAGAATTAGGAGATAAACCTACTGTGTTGGAAAATCAGAGGTATATAACGAAATTATAATAGCTCTAAATTTCATTTAAAACCGAACGCGTAGCGTGAGGTTTTAAATGAACAATTTAGAGCTATTATAATTTCGTTATATACCTCTGATTTTCCAACACAGTAGGTTTATCTCCATTCTACCATGACAATTTTATGAACAATTTCAGGTGGAGCTCTTTCTTTGGTTACGAGTCAATACGTGAAGCGGCCTCGCATTCCAATCTCAAGTGGCATCGCCCGAAACGGGGTGATTGGTGGCAAACCGTCAATGACTAACAAACTCCAGATTCAGTAATAACAAATCACGTTTTGTTTTTTCAATGCATCAATCACCAATCATTAACTGATAAGTTGGAAAACATATATCAAATAAGTTTAAAAAGCTTGGTTCACATTTGAAAATTCCACCGTAGACCCTTTCCCCACCAGAATAATGGCAGCAACCTCATGGCCTTGACCTTTTCTCGGAAGTCATTGTTTACATTTGTAAACGTGCAAATTTGGAAAGATGCGACAGGAGAGCCTCTGACAGTTTGAGCAAGGTTAACCTGATTGTATGACTGAGATAATCTTTGATATCTAACTACTGGTACTGGTACAAAATTTAAGAGTAGAGGCGCTTTTGCTGTAACGAGAAGTCCGTGTTGTACCGAATTTAGATACTGTTGAATTTTGCGCCCTGTCAACTTGACGATTTCACGCACCTCTACGTCTGCGTGCGACAGCTGTGGTGACCCTTACACACTCATGTGTGTACTTTGTGCTCAAATTCGATTCTACGGATATTATTTTTTACATTTTGGAAAGTGTTTTGTGACCTAGTGGCTTCAAAGTGTAGTGAATTCAAATTGAATCGGATTCGCTGGCATGCTCGCGAGGCTGTTGACAAAGAGCCAGATTTGTGGTGATATTTCCGAAAGGATGGAACAGGACATAAGGGTGTACCTCTGGCATAAACACGGTAAGGTAATTAATTATACTTTAATAGACTACTTTAGATCAAGCATTGAATGGATAAGAGGGATCATGACTAAGCTAAATAACTTTTTCAACGATATTATACTTTTAGAAAAAAATATGTTGGGCTAAACAAACAGTACAGATTTTGCAGATTCTGTAATTACTACCGCTAAATTTGAAACAGTACAAATTTCAAAATATCATTTTGTTTGAACTGATAACCCAACTATTTATTTATGTAGACGGAAGGGATTCAAATTTCTTCGGCGTTCGATGTTAATGCATCCTCCGTTACCGGAACAAGATCAGTGGCGGTATCGTTGACGAAAGCTGATAATAAATTTAACACGGAAATTATGTAGCAGTCTATTGCTGGATCTATTCTGACATAACATAGAATCAACGTAAACATATTTGTTCTTGCTGATTTTTTATTCGGAAAGCAGACGATGTTTTGATTTTGTTCGACTGAATATTTGTTTCTATGCTTTCGAAGAACTTTGGTATGTATAAACACCTATTGCTGTGATTTACGCAAGTAGTGAGTCAAGC